TTCCTCCTTCACCCCTCTTGAGTTGTAATAGTGGGTAGCTTATATTTACATTGTGTTTTTGTGTGTCTTTGGTCTAGGTTCAGGTGGTAACTTTGCAGGAGATCGAGTTTATTAGAGAGATTTGCTTGGTTCAGGTATGGTTTATGGTTGCTCATTATGTGCCCTAAAGGTTTTAAATGCTTATTTTGTTCTTGTGTTGTTTTAATGCATGTTATTTTGGGGGTTTTAATATTAGATGAAATAAGCTCAAATCTTGTGTTTATATTCTCATTTTGGTGTTGGATTACACTGTAAAGTGTTATGAGCTGATCTGTTGTTGTTGGTTTGCGTTTTTCGTCGCTGCTGTCGTCCAGAAAACCCTAGATCCGGGGATATTTGACTGTCTTCTCTATTTTAGAAGATCCGGGAAGATCCAGTTTCTACCTAGGAAATCCTAAGTTTCTCCTCTCTGGCTTTCTAGATTTTTTGACTGTCTAAGCCTCTCTGGTCTTGGGTTAGAAGCTCAACAAAGATGGCAGGTTTGCTAAGTTTTGGGATTTTTTGATTGATGTTTTTGGATCTATAATAAACAGATTACACTGTAAAGTGTTATGAGCTGATCTGATGTTTTTCGTCGTCTCCACGCACTCTTCTCCGTCCGTTATATCCCAGTAAAGAATCTGTCTCTTTTAGTTTCTGATGAAGCATTCAGAATCAAGCACCATAGCCTAAGTCATCTTTTGTAGCAGTTAGTTGCAGCCCATCTCTGTAAAACTAACTTAGGGGCATTTATGTCTTTTCAGCCCCTAAGTTAGTTATAACCGCTTCTATCTTCTTTTCCCGCTCAGCATATAAGCAGCTTCCTCCTTCATGTATTTTGATACTTCACTTCATACAGTTCCATATGAATAAACACATGTTCTCTCTTTTCTCTCTTTTCATGATGAAATCATCAATCCCTAAAGCATTAAGCCTAGCAATCTGAACAGTTTCTCCCTCCCTCCCTCCCTCCCTCCCTCTTCTCTCTCTTGTAACTTGCTAACAGTAGTCCTGTGGTCTACAAAGCGTTGAGGAGACAGCTCTTCTATCCTTAGCTTCAATTCGTTCTGGTCTTCTTTTTTTGAAAGCATTCCTTCTGGTCTTCTAGATCAATGGATCCGATAATTATGTATCTCTGCCATGCCATGAGATTTTTACTATAATCTATGTGGGCTCTTCACTGCCAAAATGGAGTATTTTTTTTCCTCATTGGCATCATTCAAAGAAAGAAAAAAAAAGTGTCGTGGATTCTCTTTCCCAAAAAAATTCCTCACCATTTCCGCCCCGCCCGTTTCGATCCGTCCTAATAGAGTACTAGATATACTTTACTGCTATTTTTTTTTTGTTGAGAAAATTAAAGATTTATGACTTCTATGTAGTTTTTTGAAAAAATTTCCTCCTTAATCTGCATAATCTGTTTACATTTTGATTAACTGCATAATCTGTTTACATTTTGATATGTGAGTGTATGACTTATAATGAGTTATGAGTGTGTGACTTTTAATATGTATGACTTAGTTTTGGTTTTTCACTCTCTCTCTCTCTTTTTTTTTGGTAACTTGTTTGCAGAAAAATTTGTTTATGTGCAGAAAATCATATATGAAGCATACAAATAATATTTTTACATATTAAACTAAAGAAGTTTTATACCATACAAATACTATTCAATAATAGAATTATATATTACACTCTAACAAAAAGAATTTTATATACTTAGGTTGAATATACTTGGTTAACATATATCCGACATTGTTAATGTAAATATATAGATCATTCGTGCGCCGCAAATCCAATGGCAAGTCTTGATATTGATTTGGATAGTATCTCGAGGGATATGGTGTTGGTTATTGGAGATGAAAAGTATGGAAATGCATCAACAATGAGTCACGAGGCTGTGATTGAATTGAAGAATTCCATGACGGATATAATTGCTCTAATCTCCAATGTGTAAGTATAAATCAATTCCCCAAAGTCTAAATATGATCATATATAGATATGAGTTTGTGTTACTTGTGATTTTTATAGATAAGTAATGGAAGGTATGTGTACAGGGCTATTTCTAAAGCAATTGGAGAGCATAGGAATTTACTGCCCATAAATGAAATGCAAAGATCTATTGCAACACAAGGAGTGAACGACAATTTTATCGTTACTACTGAACATGTGCAATTTGCACTGGGAACTCTTGGCTTGGATATTATGACGACGGTAAGTTGTTTTTGTTTTTAAACTAATTATAATTATTGTAATTTGATAATATGTTGTTTGATCCTTGCAGCCTTAGCTTGGAAGAATTTGCTGGGGCAATTTCCACTTGATTCTGTTTTGTTATCTCGTTAATCATTAGTTCATTTGGTTGTGTATTGCTGGAAAAATGTCACTTTTTACCTAATTTCTCTGGACTGTTAACATTGCTGGGATTGTTTCCACTTGATTCTGTTTTGTTATCTCGTTAATCATTAGTTCATTTGGTTGTGTATTGCTAGAAAAATGTCACTTTTTACCTAATTTCTCTGGACTGTTAACATTGCTGGGATTGTTTCCACTTGATTCTGTTTTGTTATCTCGTTAATTATTAGTTCATTTGGTTGTGTATTGCTGAAAAAATGTCACTTTTTACCTAATTTCTCTGGACTGTTAACATTGCTGGGATTGGAATCTAACAAGTTCTGTTCATGTACTGATCCTTACCTTTGCATGGGTTAACTTCTCTGGGTTTATAACAGGTTTGCATTTCTTTAATTTCCTTTTTTGTCAGTGATAGAATTGAATCCTTAAACTTTGTTGTTGATGCACTCTATCTCAGCTTTGATAAGTAGTAGTGTGACCAATATGTGGTCTTTCACATTACTATTTCAGCACTCTATCTCAAAAAAAAAAAAAAAATCATAAGTAGTAGTGTGACCAATATGTGGTCTTTCACATTACTATTTCAGCACTCTATCTCAAAAAAAAAAAAAAAAAAAAAAATTCATTAGTAGTGTGACCAATATGTGGTCTTGCATATTAGTATTTACACTCGAGCCATGGCTATAATACGGTTTGCAGAATGCAGTTTGAGATTCAACTATTTTATGTGTAGTAGAATCCTTCTGATGTATTTATAGTTGTTTCTAATTCTTATTATCGTTATTGTTATTTAATAGTGTCTGTTGTGGAAACAAAAAGTCCAGTCCCATTTGTAACACTTGATGTGTTTTAATTGATATGCTTAAGGTTTTGATAATTAATATACATCAAGGGTGTGTTTGGTTGATGGTTTTGCTTATATGAATGTGTATGGAAGTGATTGTTATTGTCTGGTTGATTGAATGCTATTACGAGTTTTGAATATACTATCAATTAAAAAATTTGTATTCAAATAAAATAAGAGTTTCATTCTTTTATTTACTCTCATGCGCTACTATTACAAACCATTCACATTCTACCATACTACAAATCATGTTAAATATTTTTATCAAAATCTATTACTATTATCAAGTACTTCTTCTGTCTCATTTTATATGTCTTATTTTTATTTTTCATTCGTCCCAAAATATTGTCTACTTTTCTAACACTACTATTTTTTTTTTGAAGAAAACACTATTATCTTTTTATTTTTTCCAAAACACCCTTGCATTTGAAATTTTTAATGTTATCCTACTTTTAGTTTTTTTTTTTTTTTTTTTTTTTTTTAGAGAAATGTGAGTAGTCAAATCAAAGCACATGGGTAAGTTGGGGACAAAATGAAAAAAAACGGGTAATTCTATTTACACCACCTACTTAGTAGGTCAAATAGCTTTATAGGTGGTGTAAATGCCAGCATTAAATATGGTCAAAGATTATTATTTATTTATTTATTTATTTTAATTACAAAAAAAAAAAAAAAAAATTTCTCCATCCAGTCACCTTCTCCGTTGAGAAGGCAGCCCAGTGGGTTGCCTTCTCACCGAAGAAGACAACCCAATGGGTTATTTAAAAAAAAATAAAAAAATATCTGTCACCTTCTCCGGTGAGAAGGCGATAGACTGCTATTTGCACCATGGTCAAACCTCATTAAAACATTAATTAACTAAAATATTAAAAAAAAAAAATGAACCTGTCTTCTCCGGTGAGAAAGGCAGTCCATCGCCTTCTCACCGGAGAAGTTTTTTTTTTTAATTTGATTATTAAATAAAAATAAATAATAAAATTAATGATTGACTATATTTAATGAGTTGGTGCAAATAGCACTTTTGTATTTGCACCACCTATAAAGTTATTACTATACCTATTAAATAGGTGGGTGTAAATAGTAAATAGGGTGGTGCAAATAGAATTCCCCTTATGGAATGCATTTTCCATTGGAAAATGAATTCCTCAAATTTGAGGAAAACAAAATCCTTGGTTGGACCAAGGATTTTGTTTTTATGGGAGATGGGAAGAAAAAGTGATATGGATTACCAATTTTACTCTTGTTTTTTTTTTTTATAATTATATTACTCTTATTAATTTGTAGGGGCATATAGGTCTTTATACTCGTTATTCCTTGCAATTTCAAATTTAACCAAACAATAGAATTAGTATTTTCAGTAATTCTTTTTCCACCAACCAAACAATAAAATTCATCTTCCTAGTAATTATTTTTCCATGGAATTTCAATCTCACTTCTCTTAAAATATTTTCCGCCAACCAAACGAGCCCTAAGGGGAGACATAGAAAATGTTTTCCATAAATCAAACAAAGAAAAATCTTAGTTTTCCTCAAATTAAGAAAAACATTTTCCTTTGAAAATATTTTCAATGAACCAAACATAACCTAAGAGCATCCCCAAGAAAGCTGCAAAGCGACATAACCTTTTTTTGACATTAATGAAAATATCGCACTATATATGGCGTGACACATTTCCAAGAAAGATCAACACAGCTTATTTATTACACTTTTATATTCCAAGAACCAAGAGTGACAGTGAGAGTGACAGTGAGAGGGCCAGGCATATCAAATTACGTGTTATGAATGTACAAATGTACAATACATTGAAAATTGAATTCAAAGCATTGTGCAGTATAGGGTCAAGGGAACCGTATACTTGGCATTCATTTCTAGCAGTCAAGCATTGGTTCCCGTGCAAGGTTGCCTAGATTCCTGAAGATTGAAGCATGCCCAAGTCAAGAATACAACAACCCTGATATTAATTGTCTCTCAACCACCAAATTAAATTTTCTCATCAACCACCACATTAATCTCCATCTCCTCCTATATTTTTGCTTGAGATGAGGGATAGTTATGCTATGGTGCATACGGATGCAAAAAACGACGTCGTTTTATTAAAAATGCGTATCTTATTTAGAAAAAAATCAGTTTCGATTCCCCTCAACAATATTATGTTGTTCATTCATTTTGAAATTTTAGTTCATAGATTATTGAATTTTAGTTCATTGATTCTGAAATTATAGTTCATCGATTCTGGAATTTTAGTTCATAGATTCTGAAATTTTAGTTCATAGATTCTGAAATTTTAGTTCATTCATTCTGGAATTATAGTTCATAGATTCTGGAATTATAGTTTATCGATTCTGGAATTTTAATTCATATGTTGTTGCTGGGAATCGAACCTGATTTTTTTTTTTTTAAGTGAGTCGCGCGTTTTTAATAAAACAACGTCGTTTTTACACCCGTATGCACCATGCATGGTGCATACATCATAATTTGCAGTTGGCTTGTTCCATTCCATTATACTCTGTATTACGGTTCACAACTAGGAACTTCGAGGGTCCGTTTACTAACAAAAAACTGTTGTCTGTTTTCTAATTTTTTAATTTTCCTTCTCTGTTTTCTGTTTAGAAAATTGATTTACTAAAAGAAAACTGTTCTCCTTTTCCTATTTTATAATTTTTCAGTTTTTACTTAAAAAACTGAAAATTTTAGTTTAGATAATATTAATATTTTTTGAGCTAATATTTAATTTTTTTTTTTGATATATTCATTTGAATGACATGTATATGAATATATAACTTTTACTTTGAATTCTAATATATGTGAGATTTCAATATCCGATATATGGACCGAACTTGTATTATGATGTAACATAATTAAAAATATTCGAACTAATAATCTATTGAGATCAATCAAAATCTAAAACATTATATAGAGTTTAATTCTTAATTTCGATAATGTAAATAATGCATAACTTTAAAGTGTAAGCAAATAAATTATGTTTAAATAAGTAAAGTAAGTAGAAAAGATAAAATATAGTGATAAGTAAAATAAGTTGATAATTAATGTGATTATAGTGACATATAACTAAATAAATGATAGATGATTCTGTTTTCCATTTCGAAAACAGTTTTTAAGTGTGTTCCAGTTTTTCAGAAATGTCCAGAAATTATTTTCAGTTTTCAAAATGGAAAAATGTGTTAGTAAACATGTTTTCTGTTTTCTATTTTCCAGATTCCGGAAAAATTTTCAGAAATTTTCAGTTAGTAAACGGCCCACGAGTTTTTGTTTCTGATTTTCTGATTTTAACTTCCACCAAAAGAACGAAATACAACAAATAGGTATTTCACATGCCCTTCGACAAGGTGGGTATAAAACTTCAAGACGTATATGTATTATTTGGATTGAAAGTAGATGGTAAAACTGCATCGTGTTTGACAAGCAACCCCCAACGTTTTGACAGCTATATATACATACATATAATAAAGGCACAACTTTTGATAAATTAAAAAAAAAAATCAGTTTCCTGCACATAGAAAACAATGTCGTCTACGTTTTTAGGACTATTGCGGCTTTTACGATTTGCGGCGTAGGTTTTGGGTATTACTTAATGTATGTTAATTATCAAAAACTCACATATGGATTAAAACACTTATATATCTATATTAGTATTTGTCTCGTGCGGTGCATGGACAAAAATTTATAAGTATTGTTGTAATGTTATGATACAAACCATAATTAATTTTTATTAAAAATGTAAGTATAGTTATACATTGTAATATTTAAATGTTAAGACAATAAATATAACAGAAAATGCATTCATATTGCTAATCTCATTTGCAATAATGATCTTACAAAGTTAAACGGACAGAGAAAGACCCGGACCACCTCGTGGTTTACAAAAAAAAAATAATGATTTTACAAATCTATTAATATGCATTTACTCTTAGGCGGGAAATTTTTTTCCCTAATTAATTTTACTTTACCTAACTTTGTTTGTAAATTATTAAAAAACTAATCAAAATTACAAACTATTAAAAAGTTAGTACATATCTCTTTTGGAGGGAAAGTAGGTTTCTGTTTTATCTATATCTATATCTATCTATATATATATAAAAATAAAATCATCATAGCCAAGTTTTTCCCCCAAAACGTAGGGACATTTTTGTAATATCATTCATTATATATATATATATATATATATATATATATATATATATATATAGATATATTATATATATTTAATATTTAATATTTAATTTAATATATATAATAATAATAGTTTTATTACCTTACTTACTTTACTTT